TGCGGGGGTGGGTGCGGGGTTGTGGCCGACGGTGGGGGGAGAAGGTTGGGAGGGGGGGGGGGGGGGGGGTACTAAAGTAAAAGTAGTGATTATGACATTAATTTTAAAGTGAAATACTCAAACTGTCATGTAGTTTATTACAAGGTGCTCACATGAACCCACGAGACTGGACTTGTTTAAGAAAAACATTAACCCACCCGGGTCCTGGCCCCGCTCAAACAGCCGAATCAAAGTCATTTTCTCCAAACTGAGTCGGTTCAAAGGTCTACCTGCAGCAGGTAAGACGTTTATACTTTCTACTGAACTGTCACTTTAACTCAAACAGCTCAGAACACAATCTCTGTGTACATTCCACCGTAAATGGACCCAAAGTAACAAAACAGCAAGTATGGGAATGCAAAATAAAGCCTAAATTTGTTTATTTAATGAAATTCTATTTTTCCACTCGTCATCCGTTCTGATAACGCGGCTCGTGAGCGAGAAAGAGGAACTCAAAACTGTCCCAGAAAAGCAGCGCGACGTTTCCCTCACCAGGACTTGAACGTATTTCTTCCCGAGCTCAAACCCGCTGAAGTGAAGCTCCGAAGGCGCCACTTCGATCCGGCCGTTACGTTTGAGTTCGGCGTCGTTTTCTGAAACAAACAAAAAAAAAAACAGTTCAGGCCAGAAGGACAAAAGCTGAGCGTCTCAGGGTGGTTTTAGACGAGGGGTGTCCACTCCTGGTCCTCGCGGGCCACTACACTGCACGTTCTACTTGTTCCCCAGGAAACACCTGTAGCCCCCATTGATTCAAAGCAGGTGTGTTGGAGCAGAGGAACCTCTAGAATACGCAGGACGGTGGCCCTCGAGGGCCATGTCTGGACCTCCTGCCTGATATGTACTAGAGTCCAGCAGATGACCCGGGGTGCTGGCTCCTCGGCGCTCCTCCACCAGCGGTCTCAGGGGCAGGGAGGTCCCTCTCCTCCTGGGGGGCTTCCAGAGGGCCTGCGGGTCAGACGGGGTCAAGTCCATCCTGGGCAACGGTTTCTGGCAGCAGATTGGAGGGGAGACAGAGAGAAACCAGAACTTTAGTGAAGCATTTGTTAAACTTACAGGAAAACTGCTAATGAACCCAAGAGATGCTAACGTCAAGATGGCGGCTAAACAAACAAACAAACAAAACGACTGGAGCCGATTTAAGCTTATTCAAGTTATAAAAACTTGTTGAAACGTAACTCGACGACTTAAATGACAAAACAACGGCGGGTATTTCCCGTTAAACGTCAGTACGAGGAGACGTTAGTCCAAAAAAAACAAAACAAAACCGACTCGCCTTTCAGTTGACGAACCGCACGCGCTGGCGTTGCTATGGCGACGGTGGAAGAAGCGGGAACGAGCGCCGTGAGCGGCCGGTTCAATCAAACCAGACTGAAAACCGGAAGTGTGCCGTCCACGCTTCAAAACAGTCGTCTTGCGCTCGTTTCCGCGCGGCTCTTACACGTTTTTGATGACGTACATAAGATAATAGAATAAAAATATTCATTTGCTGCCGAGTAAACTTGTAAAAACACTCAACTCGGCGCTATGTCGACCTGTAGAAAAACGTTAGGCTTTTACTTTGAAAGTCAGTGACGCGGCCTGGACGGAAGCGCTTCTGAACACTTTAGAGGAACTCCTGCGCGACTTTGGACATTCCTGGTTCTTGTTTGATTTTCAGGACTCGTATATCAGCTGGATGGACCAGCAGGATGCTTCCTGTTCACCCTGATCAGGGTTCCGGCTCGGAGTTTGAGCTGAGGCGCAGAAAACCACGCATGATGAAGAAAATTGTTTTTATTGGGGCTTTGCTGTTACATCAGGTGAGGAAAAGTGCTTGAATTCAATTAATAAGTTTAAAAAAATAATGATTTATTGTAATCTTATAGGCAAAATCGTCCATGAGTTGTCATCCTCATGTTAATCTTGTAAAAGAGGAAGAAAAGTGCATAAAAGATCTGCAACTTTTTAAGCCACACAAAACAGGTGAGTAAATAATTTCAAAATTGTGACTAAAAAAACATATAATACCTTATTTATCTGCTGATTAATGGATCAGCAGCTCAGGTTTGCTGTTTATTTATCAATAAAATAAGTAAAATGTTTAAATTAAACAGGTTAACTCGCAGTAATTTCCTGTCCTTTACTGACATCTAGTGGCCATTTTTCAGATTGCACCCTTAAATTTAAAACCAGAGGAGTTCAAGTGTGTGTGGGTTTAACCTGCATTTACATCATAGAACGAGTCCTTTTATCCCAAACATCTACAACATCACTTCACTGTTGTCATTGCATCCTAGTAAAGATAAATAAATAAATAAAACATGCAATATTTGTTTCGTCTGCCAAGAAAACGTCAGCGTACACTGCAAGGGAATGTGGGACGACCTGAACTGCTGGCCACCAGCTTCTCTTGGAGAAACTGTGTCCCAACCGTGCCCTGATTTTTTCAACTCTGCAGGTGAGATACAAAAGACTCGTTTATTAACAGGAACCCATTATCTGTACCGCCGGTTAATTATTTGCCAAGAAAACTCATTTGTTTTGATAAAAACACGTGAATACGTTGTGCTTTTTACGATTACTATCAAACAGTGAGCCATTTAAGGCTTGCAGCTTTGTCAGGTACAGGAAGAAGTGAATTATGGGTACTAATATAAATTATCTAACTAGTTGGAGCCTTTTTAAATATAAGCTAAAGTGGTAAATTAATGGATTTTCTGCTCCTTTACCTTCTGTAGGGTTTGTAGGTTACATACAGTTGATATGAGCACCATGAACTTCTTAATTTACTTATTAACTATAGTATATTTCTGTAAGGACACATTTTAAAACTAAAATAAGGAAAAAGTTGTGATTTTATTGGCAATTTTCAGGAAAAGTGCATCGAAACTGCACTGCTGAAGGATGGACGGACCTTCTCGTCCCACATGAGGATGCATGTGGCTACACTTTCAACGAGTCCTTTCATTTTCTTGGAGAGGTTGGTGTTTTCTTTTGTCCAGTGTGTAGCATGCCGACATTTAGCTGCGCGTCTTACTGTCCCCAGACTACGTCCATCCGGTTAGCGGTCTCTATCCGACTTGCTGAAGGTTGATAAATAAAAACGGAAATGAAATGTAAATCACTCTGCATGCAAATTTGCTTTTGCTGCGCTTTTACTTTGAAGGCGAGTGGACGTTTACATCAGCAACCTCTTTGTGTGCGCTAACGGTGGTCTCTCCACTGGACAATGGATTCTTTGAGAGATTCAGGAATTATGATCATGTCGGCACATAGTAAATAAAGATGTTCAGCCTTTCAACACACAAAGAGAAACAGAACAGGTACTCACATTCTTGGCACCGGCGAAGACCGAGCTCTTGTTCTTGGTTTCTTACCTGATCAACCAACTTACAGGAAAACTCTAAAAAGGGAAGGCACGGGATAACAGGTTAGCACAGAATATACCGGATTGTTCACCGTGTAAGTCACGTTTTTTTGTTGTTGCATAATCTGCATGCCCTGCGACTTATAGGCCGAAGCAACGTATTTATGGATTTATTCCCATATTTATAAACTATTTTTGACTGAGATATGACTGTTTTCATTCATTCTGACTGAAAATATCAAACACTACCATTTTCAACCACTAGATGGCACCAGAGAGGTATGGCATGCCGTTGTGTCATGTAATAGGTAAAAGTGGCTTTAATGACTAAAAAAAAGTTCAAGACAAAAACAACTGGATTTTATTTATTTTACTTTATTATTTTTGTCTTGAACTTTTTTTGACTATCATATCCTGGATGACTTAGAATCTTCAGCAGCTATTAGTGACGCAATCAGCTTGCCGTAGTCTTCCACCTTCGTTCTGCTCGCTCGGAGCAACCGTCACGTCAGCTTCATTTCTCTGCGCCGCCGCGACGAAATGCAGCTGATTTGATCATTAAAGTGCATTTATTAAGAAAAAGTTCAACTGAGACACACCTTTGCTGTAAGTTTGAGCAAACATAATTGTTTTTAGTGTTAATCTTGTTAAATTCTTGTTAAAGTCCTCCCGTGGCCACCATTTGGCAGACAATCAATTTTTGGCACAATGCCGGGTTGTCAGCAGTGACGCATGATAGAAGTGACGTATTTATGGATTTTTCCACTTTATTAAACATATTTGGACTGATGCGACTTATACGGCGCATCAACGTTTACAGCGGAAAATACAGTAAGACTCACTGTCCAGAAAAAGTGGTGGATACGAATTAAAAGTGCATGTGCAGAAAGATGGACGATAGAGAAGAGAATCGGCGGTAGAGGGACACGGATGGTCCAACACCTGCAGGTTCCTCAGTCCATACCTTTCAGTTACAGCGCCACGCCAAGCTGGTATTAATGGAAAGGTCTTTATGGGACAAAGAACCTGTGGTCTAGCTGATACCAGTCATCACATGTGTTGCGACATGACACAAGGTGATGTAAATAGTTCAGTACCCATTGGAGTTCCAACACAGATTTCTTCAATGCTGTTTTACACGACTAGACAGAGTTTTATCAGATGGTACTTTTTGCCCAATAAGCATGAGACAAAGGCAGAATAACCGACATAACTGAGTTTTAGGCATATTAAGATCATTTTATGTAAATGTTCCCTAACGAGAGATTTCTGAACTGATGTTCTTTCCTATGTTCAGCCCACAGATTCCCATTTGTATTTCTCCTACGTGAAGACCATGTACACAGCTGGATACGCACTCTCTCTCATCTCTCTTAGCATCGCCATCACCATATTCTTTTTGTTTAGGTGAGAAACATTTCTCTTTTTCTTTTCTGTCCCGTGCATCAAACTCTGAAATCGTGTAGTCCTCACATTTGGACCGGGCTGTCCTTCAGTCTCGTCTGAGCAACAATGTTTGCACATCTGATCCATTTACTACTTCACCAAACAAACTTTTACTCCTCTCATGCTTCTCTTTCTTACGGTGTTCCACAAGGCTGTATTCTTAGTCCTCTCTTCTTCTCTCTCTTGATGTTGCCACTTGGTTCAGCTGTAGCCAGTCACTGATTTTTGTTTCACCGTTATACAGATGACTTACAGATTTATTCGTCTATGAAGACTAGAGGTAGACCCTTTCAAATTTTGTTTAGTAGTTGCCAACAATAAGCAGTGGCTTAACCAAATTTTGTTTTTAAACGAAGAAAAGACTAAGCATATTTTTTAGGTAATAATGCTCCCTGTAGCTTATTAGGTACTCTGACTTCCAAGTTTAGACCCAGTTAAAAACTTTGAGGTGATATTGACAAGGATTTGAAGTCCTTTGTAGTCAAGGCCAGTTTTTTTTAAATCATCCAGACCTAGAGAAGGCCAGTTGTGCTTTCATCAGCTCATGGTTTGACTACTTCAATGCTCTTTGTTGGAACCTCCCAATCTTCCCTCTTGCAACCTGAGCTTTTCCAAACACTACAGATTAAATTGTATCCATCACTCAGGAGTAGACTACCCATCTTGTTCTCTTTGTTGGCTCCCAGTCCATTTTAAAAATAATTTTCAGCTCTTAATGCTCTTGCCACACCATTTTTAGCTGATCTAGTAGCTTTCCATAATTATAAGAAGACCTTAAGGTCAACTAGTACATCTTTACCTTTTGTCCCAAGGTCCATTCACAAACACTGGGTTGACCGGGCCGTTTCAGTTACTGCACCGAGTCTGGAACCAACATCCCAAGGACTTGCACTCCATCACCGACCTGAGCCTTATTATTATTATTACTAACAACTAATCTTAAAACATTGATAATCAGGCAGGCGTTTAATACCCAGTGGCACTCTTGCATTTTTGTATTGTTCCTACTTTAAGTTTTAACTTTTGTACTGTGAAGCACTTTAGTATAGTTTGTTGTAAAAGGCTCTATAAATAAATGTAAACTGGTTGATATTAAGTGTTTTTGTATCATTGAAACTGGTTCATGTTTTCTTAAGGAAGCTCCACTGTACTAGGAACTACATTCATATTCAGCTCTTCATCTCCTTCATCCTGAGAGCCATCTTCATCTTCATCAGAGACAGTCTGTTATTCACCAACGAAGAGCTCTATCACTGTGACTACTACCCGGTATGGAAGAACTCTCATAACTCTGTATTTTCCCTAAATCAGAATTAGAATCAGCTTTATCATCATTGTACCGAGAACATGTTCGTACGGTCGTCTGAAAGACGGGCGGAGTGCACGTAGCTGCTGCTATAAAGCGCGGCCTTCTTATCCTTTCCAGAATACATTTTTTAGATAGAAAAAGGACAAAGCCACGAGGAGAGGATGGTTTCAGACATCAAAAACTCTGCCAGCTGCACATTTAAGAACACGTTACATGTGCATTTGACAAGGAGGCGGTCCATGAGGCACTAACAGACAGTCCAGTGTCCTGATAAGATGATGGTCAGCCGGCACAGTTCTGATGAGCCTCCACAGAAGATGAGGGGGAGGGGCGGTTGCGATAGACAAAGCTTTTCCTTAGTTTAAAACATTTCCCAGGAGAAATTGATAAGTCGGCCTGTTCGAGGCCAACCGGGGAGTTAGATAATCCACAATTGTTGATTTATTCAGGCTGACTAGTTTTCTTGCCAGCCTCGAGTCTGTACTGATGCCTCCAAGATCCGAAATGTCCAGATTAGGGTCCATTCCACTGGTCCGTGCTTACGAGCCTCTTCAAGGTTGTTTCCATGCTGACGAGTCCCAACGCCGCAGGCGGCCTGCGATTCAGATCACTTCCGACTTACGGTTTCGCTCGTAAATCAGCTGATTTTGAGTCCTCAAAGCACCAACCAGACCTTCACACAGACAGCAGACTAGCTGCGGCCGTCTTCTTTATATGTTGGTAAACCAGACCATTCCAAAAACAGGAAACCCGTTATCATAACTTTCCAACGCCACATATCTTTATTTGATATGTCATGACTCATTATAGAAGTGTGCAGCTGTGTGCACGTTAGCTGCTCTGCTCAATCTCAGTAACGAGTGGTGAAGGATATACAGACTATATTTATATCCATGCATGAATATTAGACTTAGTGCCGTGGAGACCTGGCATTGTATGTTTTTTTTAATAATGTAATAAAGTGCAAGTGGGAATCAATGTTCTGTCGCTCTTTTCCAAGCTACGCCGGAGCACGTGTTGCTAATGCTAAGCTAGCTCTCCTGCTACGCATCACCACCACGTTGCAATGCATGTCGTCCGAGCAGACGAGGGTTCTCCAGGACCCCGTCGCTTTGTTCAAAGGATTTTTTAAATTACGTCGAAAGTCCAGTTGGTCAGATCCAAAACAGTAGTTTTCATTTCGTCCATCCATCCATCCATCCATTTTCTTTACCCGCTTGTTCCATTTTGGGTCACGGGGGTCGCTGGTGCCCATGTCCAGCAATCACTGTGCGAGGGGCGGGGGACACCCTGGACAGGTCGCAAGTCCATCACAGGGCCACATAGAGACAAACAAGACAAACAACCATTCACTCTCTCACTCACACCTAGGGACAATTTAGAGTTACCAATCAGCCTAACATGCATGTTTTTGGTCTGTGGGAGGAAACCGGAGTACCCGGAGAAAACCCACGCATGCACGGAGAGAACATGCAAACTCCACCCAGAAGGGCCCCTGGACCGGGGTTTGAACCAGGGACCTGCTCGCTGAGAGGCAGCAGCTCTACCAGTTGCGCCACCGTGCTGCCCTGTTTTCATTTCAGAAGATGTGTAAACATAGGAGCTGCTCCAATGCACGGACGGAGAGCAAAAAAGCAGGAGGAGAACAGGGAGCGGGGAGGAATGCGCGTGCGCCTCGTTACAGAGCCAGTGAGGGGAAAAAAGAAAGAAGAAGAGACGATAAAAAACATAAATGACGGCTGAAGAACTTGAACATTTATGACCATTAAACAAGAGTAACCGTGGTTCTTGGCACATATCTAACAAGGTGTGCGAGGTCCTCTGGGCGTTTTCTTCTTTGTTGAAACGTTTCGTCTTTTACCCAAAAGACCTCTTTAGTCTAGACGACTACTTTTGTATAAAAGATGAAACATTTCAACGAAGAATCTGTCCAGAGGACCTGACTCAGCCTTAATAGATATACCTACCTGGATTATTCGGAATGTGTGAGGACGTTCTTGGCACGTAGTTTAGAAAATTTGAAAAACCACGTTTATTAAAAATTTTTAGATCTTCCAACAAGAAGCCCGTTTACTCAGATTTGTCCTAAAAGAGGCGCTCTTGGTTCCATTTTTTTAAATTCAGACACATTTAGGACTACAGGTAATTAAAGTTTTGGGTTGAAACCACTGGCACCAGTAAGTGGATTACAGGGGAGGCAATAGCCCCCCTCTATATATCTGCTGCCCCCCCTGTTGAAAACCTTACCTTACATATTCTTTCTCTCGTAAACTTGTGCGGCAGGTGGCGTGTAAAATTGTGCTGATGTTTTCCAACTACTCCATCCTCGCCAACTACAGCTGGCTGCTGGTGGAGGGTCACTTCCTGTTTATGCTGGTGAGCCGCTCCTTCTTCTCCCTGAAGAAACACCTCGTCTGGTACATCCTCCTAAGCTGGGGTACAGCCTCACGTGCATCGCACTGTTTTGTCCTGACGTTGCAATATAAT